GAATATAGAAATGTAAGGCATTGCAACATTTCAAAGACACCTGATTGGGCGACGGGCACATGCAATGCTGAATGTATCGATGATGATGTACTGTGCCGAGGGCTGTGCTGTGCTACGCCGTGCTGAACTGCGATGTGCCATGCCGCGATTGTGCTCTATATAGCGTTGGGGATCGAGTCCTCCCTGGCATCGGAGTCCTCACCAAACTGATCTGGAGCGTAAGCTCGAGCTGCCTGAGCAGATGGTAGCTGCCCCAGAACTAATCGACAGAGGGAACATGCCAGGAGGACGCGCCGAGGAACGTCCCAAGGGACGCGCCAGGCGACGTGCCAAGGGGACGTGCCATGGGCACGCACCGCGGGACGTGCCAAGGGGACGCGCTACGGAACGTGCCAGTGGACGTGCCGAGGGACGTGCCAGGGGACGCTCCGCGCGACGTGCCAGGTGGACTCGCCAAGGAACGCGCCAAGGAACGTGCCAAGGTGCATAGTTGAGTGTATCGATCTTGATGTACCGTGCCGACGGCTGTGCTGTGCTGGGCCGTGCTGAACTGCGATGTGCCATGCCGCGATTGTGCTCTGTATAGCGTTGTGGATCGAGTCCTCCCTGGCATCCGAGTCCTCACCGAACTGATCTGGATCGTAAGCTCGAGCTGCCTGAGCAGATGGTAGCTGCCCCAGAACTAATCGACAGAGGGAACATGCCAAGAGGACGCGCCGCGGAACGTCCCAAGGGACGCGCCAGGCGACGTGCCAGGGGACGTGCCATGGGCACGCACCGCGGGACGTGCCAAGGGGACGCGCTACGGAACGTGCCAATGGACGTGCACCGCGCGACGTGCCAGGTGGACTCGCCACGGGACGCTCCGCGGAACGTGCCAGGCAACTTGCCAGGCTGCAATGCTCAGGGTATCGATATTGATGTACCGTGCCGAGGGCTGTGCTGTGCCTGGGCGACCTGGACACGTGAAAACACGCGTTTCGCTCAAGACGTTGTCAGCATATCCTCATGCTAGACATCCGCCTGGGCAACCTGGACACGTGCAAACAAGCGTCTCGCTCGAGACATCCTCAACAAATCCTCATGCTAGACATCCGCCTGGGCCGCCTGGGCGACCTGGACACGTGAAAACAAGCCTCTGGTTCGAGACATCCTCAACAAATCCTCATGCTAGACATCTGTCTGGGCCACCTGGAGGCGTGAAACCTGGGCACGTGAAAACAAGCAATCCACTTGAGAAATCCTCAGAATTCAGGTCCCCAGGAGAGGACACTCTATAGCACAAAACAAGCGTTTCGCTTGAGACATCCTCAACAAATTCTGAAAAACAAGCGTTTCGCTCGAGACATCCTCAACATTTAATTCGCCGGCCCTACGCGACCTCGTTATTTATTGCAAAAGAAATTCGCCGGCCCTACAGCCGTCAAAACCGGGGGGAAACCAACTAAAAGAGAACCCTGGGCTCAGGCCCTTTCCGGGGAAAAAAAAAAACATGATCGACCCACGAACCCGGAAAGGAATGTAGAACTGTAACACATGGCAGCGTTTTCAAAGACACCTGATTGGGTGACGGGCAAATGCAATACTGAAGGTATCGATCTTGATGTACCCTGCCGAGGGCTGTGCTGTGCTGCGCCGTGCTGAATTGCGATGTGCCATGGCGCGACTGTGCTCTATAGCCTCGTGGATCGAGTCCTCCTTTGCATCCGAGTCCTGACCGAACTGATCTGGATCTTAAGCTCGAGCTGCCTGAACACATAGTAGCTGCCCCAGAGCTAATGGACAGGGGAACATGCCAGGAGGACGCGCCGCGAAACGTCCCAAGGGATGCGCCAGGCGACGTGCCAGGGGACGTGCCATGGGGTCGCACCGCGGGACGTGCCAAGGGGACGCGCTACGGAACGTGCCAATGGATGTGCCACGGGATGTGCCAGGGGACGCGCGACGCGACGTGCCAGGGGGACTCGCCAAAGGACGCCCCACGGAACGTGCCAAGGAACGTGCCAAGTTGCAATGCTGAGTGCATCGACCTTGATGTACCGTGCCGAAATCAGTGCTGTGCTGCGCCGTGCTGAATTGCGATGTGCCATGGCGCGATTGTGCTCTATAGCCTCGTGGATCGAGTCCTCCTTTGCATCCGAGTCCTGACCGAACTGATCTGGATCTTAAGCTCGAGCTGCCTGAACACATAGTAGCTGCCCCAGAGCTAATGGACAGGGGAACATGCCAGGAGGACGCGACGCAGAACGTCTCAAGGGACGCGCCAAGCGACGTGCCAAGGGACGTGCCATGGGGACGCATCGCGGGACCTGCCAAGGGGACGCGCTACGGAACGTGCTGGGGACAAGCGTTTCGCTCGAGACATCCTGTCAAAATCATCTGAATTCCTACGCGCGGGACGCTGCACGCGCGAGACATCCTCGGAATTCCTGCGAGCGGGACGTGAAAACAAGCATTTCGCCTGAGACATCCTTTGAATTCTGGCCCCCCACGAGGCCACCGCTCGAGACATCCTCCAATTTTGCAAAACCAGCGTTTCGCTCGAGACATCCTCAACAAATTATGAAAAACAAGCGTTTCGCTCGAGACATCCTGTCAAAATCCCATCAAATCCAAATACCCGCGCGCGGGACGCGGCACGCGCGAGACATCCTTGGAATTCCTGCGCGAGGGGCGCTTTTCCGTGTCGCGGTCGGCTCTGCAAAACCAGCGTGTCGCTCGAGACATCCTCAACAAGAGCCTTCTGGGGCCTCCTGAAGCCTTCTGGGACGTCCTGGGACGTCCTGGGGCCTCCTGGGGCCTCCTGGGCTCTCCTGGGGCCTCCTGGGGCTTCCTAGGCATTCCCTAAACATCCTGGGGCCTCCTGGGGCTTCCTGGGGCCATGCCCCTGACCAAAACGTGTCCCGCACCCTGTGATTTATCGATCGCGATTTCAAAAACAAGCGTTTCGCTAAGGACATCCTCAATTTTTAATTCGCCGGCCCTACGCGACCTCGTTATTTATCGCAAAAGAAATTCGCCGGCCCTACAGCCGTCAAAACCGGGGGGAAACCAAGTAAAAGAGAACCCTGGGCTCAGAAAAAACAAAAAAAAAAAAAAAAAAAAAAAAAAAAAAAAAAAACAACTCACTCATGAAACAAGTTTTTTTTATTATTTATCTGTATATCTATATATATATTATATATATATATATATATTATATATATATGTATATATATACACACATATACATATACATATAACAAACAAGCAAAACAAAACAACAACAAAAAAAACAAAAAAAAAAAATGTGAAGCAAAAAGGCTGTGTTTCTAATTGCATAATTGTTTTACTTGTTAACGTCAACACACACACACACACACAAACAAACAAAAAAAAAAACAAAGAAGAGGGAAGGAAAACTGGTGTTTATCGTGCTTACAAATTTACACATTGATCCCATTCGTGTGGCCTTCAGAGTAGATGCGTTTGGGGGATATACATATTGATTCCTGTTCTGTACGTTACAATTCATATCATTTTGCGCGGACTTTCACATTGATTCCTATTGTGCAGCCTTCAAACAGTATTCGTCTGTGCCCGGCTCAGGGGGAAGGGAAGTGGGGGCCTGGCCTGCGAAATAAACAAAATATACCACAAAGAGAACTTGAGGACCAAAAGCGCCGTGTTTATGTAATGAGGCGTATACTCGTAAAACCAAAAATACACAAACAAACAAACAGCAAAACGAACAACAACTGGGGGTACAAACAAACCTGTTGTTGTAAAGTTTTTAGAATGTACAAGTTGATTCCTAATGTGTGGCCTTCAAATAAAATCATTTTGTGGGGATCTACAGACTGGTTCTTGCTGTGTACGATAGAGTCCAAATCCGTTTGTGCAGACTTGCATAAAGTGATTCCTTTTGTGCGGCCTTCACGCAGAATTCTCTTGTGCCTGGCTCAGGGGGAGGGGAGGTGGGGGCCTGGCCGACGAAAAACAAAACTATAACAAAAAACTGAGGGTCCAAAAACGTTGTGCTTAATTGCAAACTGGTTTGTGATTGTAATCGAAAACGGGCGCTAAGAGAATCTGTGTTTCTACCATGTCTCCACGTTTACATGTGATTCCTTTGTGGCTTTCAAATAGAATCCGTTTTGTGGAGAGCTACCAAAGAATTATCCGTTGTGTACGATACAATCGAAATCCGGTCGTGCAGACTTACAACTTGATTCCTAGGGTGTTGCTGAATAGTCCCCTACAAAAGGATTTGACGTGAAGACCGCACAATAGAAATCAATGTGCGAATGCGTAAGCACTGCAAAAAAATGTATTTGCTTACAGATTGGTTGTTTTCGGTGCTTTCCTTTTTTAACAGTTCCAATGCACTTCGCACTTCGAACACAACGTTTTTGCTCCACCAAATTGTCTTTTTGGTTTTTTTGTCTTTTCCGTCGGCCAGGCCCCCACCCCCTCTCCTCCTGAACCCAGCACAAAGGAAGTCTGTTGGAAGGCCTCACAAGATTAATCAATTTGTAATCACAAGTAGAATCAATGTATAATCCACCAGAAAAGGACTATACTTGCAATCCGCTACAAAGAGAACAATGTGTAGTCCGCAACAAAGGGAATCAAGTTGTAATCCGCCACAAAATGGAATCTTGTCATCCACCGCACAAAGAATCAATATGTAATCCGCCACACATGAAATCAACGTGTCAAGCGGTCGGTGGCGAGTCTCTGAGGTCCAAGGGCAATCCCCATTAATTTTGCAATCCGTCAAAGCTGCCCTTCCGTGAACTGCTCAATAGGGCTGCTCAGCCGCACCTCTGCGTTGGAAAAGCAACAGTGGTGTATGGATTCGTCGCGTGTGCTGGCAGCTGCTCACCATTGGTCAGAGCCCCTCTTCTCATACATCCTGTTAATCGACGGGGGATACCGGTGCAACACGTCATATTCCAGGGCACTGAGATACAACCTCTATCCCCTGCCCCCCCCCCTCGGTGCCCCGTGTGCCGATCCTCCTGCAGCCCAGGCCGCCAGGCCCTCTCCTCCACTGGCTCGAAGTTGATGCGGGCCTCTGGGTCGCACACCCTCAGCGGGTAGGGCCCGAGCATGTGCCGCTCGGCGGGAAAGCCGTGCTTCCGGAGGAAGAAGGCCAGCTGGTACGAGAGCGCGGTGTCGCGGCGGACGTCCCGGTCGTAGTAGCGGAGGCTCCGCACCACGGACAGGTACTCGGCCACGTCCTTCGGGAGCTGCTCCTGGGGGAGGCCGGAAAGTGGAGGGGAGGGGGGGTCATCGGCCCGGAGAGGAGGAGGCGTCGCCGCCAGGATCGGCGCCAAGCCCCGAGAGCGAGGCCGAGCAGAACGCTGCCGGGGCAGGGCCGGGGCGCCCGAGCCCCGAGCGGCGATGAGCGGGCGGCCCGAGGCCGATGTCTCTCCCCACCTGGGCCACCACCCATCGGGGATGGACAGACCTCCCTTTAGTAAAACGTGGTTTAGTGAAAACGACCTGAGGCCCAAAACTGGCGGGCGCAAGCCTGGAAAATAACGGCCGCGGCGCCCTCTCGAGAACCGGAAACGGACAACTCACTAATTGACGTGTCACTGTTGGGGGTTCTGTCCGCCCCCGAACCCACCCCCCGGGTGCCTGGCTGCAGAAAGCCTGGGTCCAGAAATGTGGACGTCTCTGGGGACCCCCCCCAAAAAAAAGCGGTACCGTTAGGTCGGGCATGTCCTCCTACAGGCGGAGTCTGGACGAAAAACAAGAAAGAGTTAACAGATATTCCAAAACATTCCAGAGATAATCAAAAATCGTCCCAGCTTATTTTTTCACTGTTTTTGAATAGAGGCACATGCCCGACTCAACGGTACCGCTCCTCCCCGGACCTGTGTTCTGACTAGAATGTCGAGGTGAACCCAGCCGTGTCGACGAGGGCCTCCCAAGAGGCCCCGCAAGGAGAAAACTGTGGAAGGGCGGCGGTATCGGTACCTTTTCGAGATGCGGAGTCTCAGAGAAACAGCCTGGGGGCCCTGTCCCGCCCTAGCTCGGAGAAGGCCTCTTGGTGACCTCTAGGGGCACACCGCCAACGTACTCCTAATGTAAGCCGAACGTCCCTTCGAAGAAAAGACGGGCGCTGAACGCCCACCCGAAAAAAATATCCGCCGACGACCGCATCCGAACGTTATGCAATCCTTGCCATGAGTTGCCGAATGGATTTCCGTTTTCTGTTCCTCTCGAAATTCGAGAGGAACAGAAAACGGCATCAGCACAAACTTTCGAAGCCCCGCTCGGACTTCTCGGATATCGGCGCTGGGCCACCGCTCCAGGGGCGCGCGGAGCGCGCCATGGGGCGGCGCCGGAGGGGCGCAGGCAGGGGGGCCCCAGCGCCGACCCCAGAGATGCGCCCGGAACTCCGAGAGTTTCTGCTTACAGGGCAGGTTTAAACACATCGAATGTTATCATTTTTTATATGGGACTTGTAATACATGACCAATGCATGAATAAATTTATGCATGAAGGCATCGTTGTTTTGAATACTAAATCCCTGCATTTCGAATACATGATCCGCACGCGGAGCATGTATTAAAAACGGCACTGTATGCCGTTCTCTCCTCGCGAACCGATGCCGTGCTGATGAAAGCCGGCAGCTTCCCCACCGAGGGAAAGGGGGCTCCCCCATGCGATGCGCAAGCCATGGAGGAGAAGGAAAAGACGGCGATGCTGTTAGGTCGGGAATATCCTCCGACATGCGGGTTTTGGACGAACAATAAAACAGATTCAAAGATAGTCAGAAATAATCACACATGTTCAAAACATCGTCCACTGACTCTCCTTTTTGACTAATTTTGAATACTCCTCCTGTAGAGGGACAGGCTCGACTAAATACTATATGTTTTCAATCGTTTTGCTCGGCCTCCATGTTCCTCCTCTGACGCTTACTTCCGTCACCGTCCGCCGAGCGCCTTCTGTCGGGCGTTGGCAGAACTGGGTTTAGTGGTACCTGGTTTGGTGATGTGTACTGGGGGGCGCCCCCGTTCCATTCACTGGAACTGCCGCCACCCGAAAAAGACACCGGCTGCGGCAGACCTGGCTCCGTGACTCTGGCCGGATGGAAGGGCTCCGGGGCCCTACCACTAACTGGGTCCCCTTGGGGTCCTGGCTACACCCTGCGAAATGCTTAAGAAATCATGGGTGAAGAAATTCATAGTCTCTGAACTTGAGTAGAAGCTCAGAATTTCCATCGGAATCTTAGGATGCACATGGAAACATTAAGAATAATCGAGACTCTGGCCGAAAACTTGGGTTTTCTTAACCATCGCCTAAGGTGTATACCCGATCAAGGTTCCTCCTCTGACGTCCCCTGGCGACACCGAGTCCACTCGGAGCGGGGCCGCGGGCCCGACCCCGGCTCCGCTGTGAACGGGCCCGCGGACCCTCCTCCTCTTCGGCCTCCTCGTCGGATTGGCGGGGAAGATCATGTTCCCGGAAGGCTCTCTGGGAACATGATGGTGTGGGCCGTGTTGGAATCCTCCTGAGGGTCTCGCGGGTATACCACCTGAATCTACAAAGCCATAAGGACAGCCACCGTCCGCCGAGCGCCTCCTGGCGGACCCACCGCCGCGACAGAACTCCGCCGGCCTGCTGCCCGCCAGGGGGGCGAGGTGCCTCACGGGGGCGGGGCTCCGTGCCGGAGCGCCCCACGCTGGGCGCCGCGAGGTGCTGCGAGCATCGCTCCACCTCCTCCTCCTCCTCCTCCTCCTCCTCCTCCTCCTCTCCCTCCTCCTCCTCCTCCTCCTCCTCCTCCCTCCTCCTCCTCCTCCGCCTCTTCTCTCTTCCCCTCCTCCTCCTCTCTCCTCCTCCTCCTCCTCATCCTCCTCCTCCTCCTCCTCCTCATCCTCATCCTCATCCTCATCCTCCTCCTCCTCCTCCTCCGCCTCCTCCTCCTCCTCCTCCTCCCCACCCTGGACATGACCGGGCTGTGCAAAAACCCAGGCGGGCGGTGGCTCGCAGTCTTCGCCCTCCTGGGGCCCTCGCCGGGCCCTGGGACTCCTCGCGAGGAGAGACTGGCTCCGAGGAGAGGGTCGGGACTTCCGGAGACCCCGCATTGTCGGGGGCGGCCAAGAGAGGGGCGTCCAAGAGGGGGGGCACAAATCATGGCTGGCGGCATGTGCGCGGCCAAGGGGGGGAGGCCCGGGAAGCCTTGAAATGAGAAGAGGCGGCATGAAGTCTGGGGAGATATTATGGCCCCCGCCATGATATCCACCCCCCCTAGTCATCACCCCCCTCCCAAGAGATCCATTGTCGTGATTTGCTCAATACGGTGTCCCCGGAAAGGCTCGACCCATTCCCAAGGACTGGTCTTTCGTCCAGCGTCGTTTGTGTAACGGCCCCGGGGCCCGGTAAGGGTCCCAAGAGGCCGAAGGCTGGCGAAAGCGCCCGTCTTGATTTTTGCAATGCGCTGGACCTCTGGGTCTTGGTAGCCCCCGACCCGACAAAAAACGAAGCATCTAAAATACTCCAAAATCCTTACAGATACTCGACAAGATCGTCCCCTGACGATTTCTGGACTCTTTCTGAACACTCCTCCTGTAGGGGGACAGGCCCGACTTGAGCCTGGCACTGGCGCGGCCTCGGCACCACCTGCGTGGCCGCTCGGCCCCTGCTCGCCCCGGGGGGTGGGGCTGCAGGCCCGCTCCCCCGGGCTCCGCAGGGCCTGCCCCCGGACCAGGGCTGTGGGAGGACGGGCTGGCAGGGCTGGGAGATCGTGCGCAAGAGAGAGCAGGAGGGGCACGGATGCGCCGCGAGGGAGGCGGAGGAGGAGGAGGAGGAGGAGGAGGAGGAGGGGGAGGGGGAGGAGGGAGGAGGAGGAGGAGGAGGAGGAGGAGGAGGAGGGAGGAGGAGGAGGAGGAGGAGGAGGAGGAGGAGGAGTGACGCATAGAGAGCAGAACATCCACCCTCATAAGAATCACCCCGACACGCGAAGCCGTTTAGTAAACGCCAAGGGCCGTGCAGCAAACGCACCCGAAGAAGGAATCGAACAGGGCAGGGCTGTTCAGTAAACGCCCAAGGCCGCTTACCAAACGCCAACTATCGGGACTGGGTGGTGCTTTCCTCCCTTGAACGCAGACTTTTTTGGGGGGTCGGCGGGTCGGGAGCGGGCCCCTTCCGGTTCAGAGCTAGGCGGGGCGCGCGAAGCACTAATTGGGGAGACAGGGCGCGGGGTCCCCCGAAACCCCGACCCGTTCCACCGAAACCTGTTATTTTCAACGCGGGGTCCCTTCCGGTCAAGAGCTAAACGGGGCGCGGGTAGCCCTAATTGGGGAGACAGGGCGCGGGCGGGCGGGGCCTCAGGCGGCCAGAGGGCTCAGAAAACAGGCGGTGCCGCCTTGAACGCAGACATGCGATGTCCTGTTTTTCTTCAACGCGGGGTCCCCCGAAACCCCGACCAGTTTGAAGGGGCCCCAGGACACACAAATAAATACACACAAATAAAACTATTCCCCACATTTTCCTATGGTTTGGGGGTTTTTGTCTTCCCCCCCACACACTTCCCATATTTTTGCATATTTTCCTGGGAGTCGACGATTAATTGTGTCTGTGTGTTTCTTTCCCTCCTGACAGTTCCGTCCCCGCGCGGGGCCGCTCCTCGAGCGCGAGTCGCTTCTGCTGGCGGCCCCCCCGGGGCCAGGCCAGGGCTCCCGGAAGCCGAGGGCCGCCCCCCGCAGCGCCCGCCCTGACCTCTTCCCACAGCGCGGCCGCGTCGGGGGATGCCCAGCGCTCCGAAGGAGTAGGCAGAAACGTGAAGCAGGAAGGCGTTGAGAGTACTCCAGATTTCGCAATCCAAGGGAAGGGGGTCTGGACCCCCCAAGACAAGCCATTTCAGACCCCCCCCCCGTGGGAGAACCCTCCAAAACATCGTCCCCAGACCCCCCAGGCCCTCCAAGATAGCCTGGAAGAGACCCCCCCCGAAATGAGACCCCCTCCCTTTTATTACGAAATCTGGAGTAGATTGGGTGTCCGCCCGCCCCCCAGGGAGGACGGACAGGGCGAAGCCGCTCGATCCTCGAAGTCGGAAGGCGCTGGAAGCAGACTGGAACCCGGGACTCCCAAAATAATCCTGCCTTCAACGACGGATGGGTAACTTGTGGGCCATGCGGATCGCAAGATCCAGGGTGTGCAGGAAGTCGAGCCGCAGCAGCATCTCGATCGTCTTCAGCCCCCGCAGCTCGGGGGCGTCGTCCGCCACGTGCAGCAGCGGCTCCCGCAGCGCGGAGCGCAGCAGCACTACCACCGCCGCCGGGGCGCTCAGGCCCGTGGCCAGCATGGTGTGGCAGAGCCGCACCGCCGCAGGCATGGGGAGCAGGGCGCCGGCGGCCTCGAAGCGCGGGAACTCCTCCGCGGGGCAGCGGCGAGGCCACGACGACGACGACGACGACGACGACGACGACGACGACGACCTCCTGAGGAGGGCTGCGAGCCCGACGAGGATCCTCGTCGGGCTCGCAGCCCGGCTTGGCCGCCCCCAGCCCCCCGCTGCGTGAGCGCGCTTGCCCCCTTCCCGCCCCCCCCCCCTCCCCGCTCCCGCGGCCACCCCTCTACCCCAATCCTTCTCCTCCTGCATCCCGGACAGTTCGCATTGCCGTGGCGCGGCCTGCAGAACGCGCGCGCGGACTGACTCTGCCGCGCTGCGGCGCAAAAAAAAGCGTGTGAGTCCAGCAGAGCATGAGATACTGCCACAAAAACCGTTTCGTGCAACATGCAGGGGCGCGGGGAGAGCGCTGGATAGGGGGAGTCCCCACGCAAGGTTCCCAGACAAGCCGGCGAACCAGCGGCACCAGGCAGAAGTGGAAGCAGGGCGACACGAGGAGGCATGTCTTCTCCGCAAGAGCACTCTACCCGCAGCAGTGTCGCTGGGGCCCGTCCGCCCCCGGCACGGGAAAAAAAACGCGTGCCCACATGTCTATGAATGAGTGGATGCCACCCGAGCTCGCGCAGGGGGGGAGGAGGAGGAGGAGGAGGAGGGGGAGGAGGAGGAGGAGGAGGAGGAGGAGGAGGAGGAGGAGGAGGAGGAGGAGGAGGAGAGGAGGAGAGAGGAGGAGAGGAGGAGGAGAGGAGGAGGGGAGAGGAGGAGGAGGAGGAGGAGGAGGAGGAGGAGGAGGAGGAGGGGGAGGAGGGCGAGAGGCAAGGGCACTGTGCGACGGCCCCCCTTCGGCCCAAACGGCCACTCATAGAATGGCAAGCACACCCAGGGCCAGCCCACGGGGGAGGGGAACGGGAGGCCACGAGCAGCTTGATTTTATCCATCAGGCGCGGCACCGACCACCGAATCCCATATCGCCCGTCTGGAGGTATGATGCTAAAGCACTGGCGTAGAGGACGGAGCATGTAAGATTAGGTCGGGCACGTCCCCTACAGGCGGATTTTGGACGAAATCTTAAAGATGCTCAAAACAGACCCCAAACATGCTCAAACATATGAGAAACATCGTCCCCTGACGATTTGTTGACTATTTTTTAACATTCCTCCTGTAGAGGGACAGGCCCGACTTAAACAAACCGCAATATCCCTGGGACGGAACTTCTGAAGGAGCCCTGGGACACACAAATAAATACACACAAATATAAGGATTCCCCACAATTTCCCATATGTTCTGCGATATTGTCTTCCCCCACTTCCAATATGTTCCCACATGTTCTGGGGAATCGTCGATTAATTGTGTCTGTGTTTTTTCCCTCCTGAACTTCGCATGGTACACGCCGCAGCGGTCTGGACGGCCAGAGTTTACCCATCATGCCCAACATCCCACTCAAAGCGGTCCCGCTGGGCCCGCAGTGAGGAGGAGGAGGAGGAGGAGAAGGAGGAGGAGGAGGAGGAGGAGGGCGGGGGGGAAGGGGAGGGGGAGGGGGAGGGGGAGGGGGACAAGTTAGGTGCGCTCGCGTCAACATCTGACATCCTACCCATCCCTCCCATCCCTTGCCATGGCGCTGATTTTCTCTTTCCGCGGACGCGTGTCGTAGCGGACCTGTGGCTCCGCGCGCGTGTGCGTAGTGGGTGGTGGTGCGCGTGCGTGCGTGCGTGTGTGCGTGGTTGTGGTTGTTGTGGTGGTGGTGTGTATGTGTGTGTGTGTGTGCGTGTGTGCGCGTGTGCTGTGGTGTGACGTGGTGTGGCGTCTTGGTGGTTTGGTGGTGGGCCAGGTGCGTACTTGCGTGATGGCGGTGGTGGTGGTAGCGGTGGTGATGTGTGTGTGCGTGTGTGTGCGTGTGTGTACGTGTGTGTGCGTGTGTGTGCGTGTGTGTGCGTGTGTGCGTGTGTGTGCGCGTGTGCGCGTGTGCGCGTGTGCGCGTGTGCGCGTGTGCGCGTGTGCGCGTGTGCGCGTGTGCGCGTGTGCGCGTGTGTGCGCGTGTGCGCGTGTGCGCGTGTGCGCGTGTGCGCGTGTGCGCGTGTGCGCGGGTGCGCGTGTGTGCGCGCGTGTGCGC